CTCCCAGTCACCTTTGCGTTTCAAATATCTTGGGAAAGGCCTATTCCATTAGTAAGGGGTTCTTTTTCCCGTGAAGCTTGTTTTTGGAAAATTGTGATCTATCAAAATTTCTATGGCATTGTGTTTGCTTTCCTGGTCTCTCCAAACTTTCCACCTCAATGCATAGGCACATGAAACATTTAGGTGATGCACTCCTTTTTAGCTTTGTTTTTTACAAATTTGTGGCATGGTTACAGCTGTACCATATGTTCTTGCAGATAAGCTGCAACCCTGATTTCTTGTGAGAATTTTTGGAAAAAAGGTGAGGCTTATACCCTGCTATCCCAGATGTTTAGACAGCCCAAGTTTTCTACCCAGGAGAAATCAATAGTTTCCTAGAATTTCTTTCCACTTACCATGTGTTCGTAGAAATAGCTGCCTTGCTTTCTCTCCACAAGCTACAATTTTTGTGCTATCATCAGCCTCTTTTTCTCCCAAAGCAGCCTTAACAGCCTTCACCAAGCTAGAATGGATTCCACCACACAATCCACGATCAGATGACATCACAACTATGAGGTTCTTGGGTTTTGTCTTTTCTGCCTCACTTGGTTTGATTTCAACTTTCTCATAAAAAGCTGAAGAAAAACCTGTAAGCAAATGATCAGGGCTCAGTTGTTTAAATGGCGGATGACGCTATCCAGCAGACAAATTACTATCTGGCAGATAAATGTTGACAAAACCTACTATGCTTTCTACCTGATCCACATTTATCCACTGGATAGTGTTATCCGAAAAATCCAGGTCCCAGATGGGATTTGAACCCACGACCTTCTGTGATCTAGTCGGATTCTCTAACCACTGAGCTACTGGAGACTCTATGGTGAGCAAGGGTCAACTTGTGGGTATTGACTGGAACCGCATCGAGCGGCTACACAGTCAAGTTTAAATCAGTGCGTGTGAAACTCACCAACAGCATCGCGCTGTCACATCAATGCATTTCAAGATGCGGCCAACCAACCTCCAAAGTGAGCACATAAAGATGAAACCATTTAATGTCCATTTGGGACTTGGATGTTTCTTATTACATTAAATTGTTTCATCTTTATAGTGTTATCCAGCCTTTAAACAAATGTTGGTTGCTTCACCAACATGTCGGTTTGCCAACATATGAGGTCGATTTTTCAATGTCTAGGGTCAGTTCACCAGCACTTATGTGTCGGTTCCCCAATGTCCAAATTAATTTAATTACAAATGACCAGAGGAATAAAAATTTACTTTTGATGTATTCACAGGTGTTTGTACATTAGTATCATTTGAAATTGTTTGTTGGCAAAATGACTGGTTATCCTTTGAACAATGGAGGCTAGGTCAACAAAAACATTTGTTTAAAATTTTGTGTACAAAATTCACACCGTTTCCCTGACCACTGCTCTTATTTTCAAGACTCAAGGCAGTGAGTCAAAGTGAATTCACTTTAATTTACACACCTGAAGCGCCAGCTCCATAAATTCTTGCAGGACGTAGTTCTCTCTCTGCTTTACCAAACTTTGCAGCTGATACCATCTTCATGGATTTAGTGATCTTCTGAATATTCTTAACACTCCTTAATCGCAAGGAGACTAAATTGAAAAGGAAAATGTTGTAAGGCTTGTATTATCGCTAGGCAGTAAACCCCTCAACTCCCAGAAGTGATTAACATGCAACTTCTCCATTTAATATCTGTACATTATCAGGGCTCGACACTAACTTTTCAACTCACTAGTCAGGTGACTGGTGACATCTTAAAAGTTACGACAATTTCAGTTTGTTTACTACCCAAACTGGCTGGTGGAAATCGAAAGCCACTAGCCAAAACTGAATTTCTACTAGTCTGTGGCTAGTGGGCTACTGTTAGTGTCAAACCCTGATTATTCAGGAAACAGAGGTTGTTATCATGCACTGACACCAAATTCTTGTAACTCATCTACAAGGAAATGTGTAAATGCTAGACGAGGGACTCCACAGATCTTAGGTGTTGAAGGATTAATTAATATCTTCTTGAGGATGCAATAAATTACAGATAGAAAGAACTTTGGAAACTAGAAATGTCATAATTTTGAAACAGATGGTAGCATGGCACTTTATAACCTATACATAGATTTTTTGTAAGGCTTTCACATCCCTTCAGATGAGGGGCGTAATATTTGCACGAAGTAGCTCGTACAAACTGCTTGGCTTGTAATTATATGACTACAAAACAACAATCCACTACGAAAAAGGTTTTATCAGAAGAAATATTTTTGATTTCCTTTAGAGAAATTAAAGCCTTTTATCCATTTTAACTAAAACAAAAAACTTAAGCCAGATGCTAGTCATTCCCTGACAGTGAAACGCTCGATCAACACAAACATGGTGAATTCATCAAGCTAATATTTCAACTTACTATCTTTCAATGTTGCCATGTTCCTTACGGCCAGGCTACGAATAAAAGTAACAGCAAAACAGTGTTGAAAAAAATCTGGAAATTTCTGAATTTTTAAGACGTTAAAGTTAAGTTTCTCACCATGATGTTGGCCTAAAAACAGCTCCTTGGATGAAGACCGCGTTAGCCGCCATCTTGGATGTCAGTAATTCGCTCACTAAGTCACGTGGGTTAACTGCACCGCTGACTAGCTAAAAATTTTACAACACCGTATGTCATTGGTCAAAAATTTGAATCTGGTACATTGACCAATTATCATTTATATAATAAAAAGAAACTTTGTTACTGCAGGCTCAATTAATTGTGAACACGTTTTGTATTTTCGAAAACCAGTAGAAAGAGAGGTGAAAATGTCGGGTCGAGAAGGTAAGATATATTAAATTTCCAACATCCTTTTTTTGGTGTACTTTGAATTTATTTATTATGAAGCCCATCAATCTTCCATTTTTTTGCAGGAGGAAAGAAAAAACCTCTTAAACAGCCCAAGAAAGAGAAGAAGGAAATGGATGAGGTAGGGTTCTGGAATCGAACGACAAAATTCTTGAGATACGTAGACGTTCATATGTTACAATGCAATTTTGTCCTTGCTTTAAGTTGTACCTGCCTCCACTTTTGTGCCACTTATCATAACATACGCTGCCTCTTCATGGTGCGTATAAATTGAGACTGATATTACAAAATGAGCTTATTACTCTTTTGGCAACTCATTGATTGGCGCTCACCAAGGTTAAACGAGCTTTCAAGGGAAAGCGGTCAGAAGAAAGATTGATTTCTTCATAGTCTGTGGTACACTAACAAAAACTTTTCATAAGACTACATATTTTTTTTGTGACGTACATTTCTTTTGTTTTTCTCCTGATAAAAGCTTCGAGAATGTTTAACTCAAAAGGGCGGATGGGGGGATGGGGTGGTGGTATGAAAATCACATATGGGGAAGAGTATGTATTAAGGTTTGTTACAGAGTGCAAGAGGTATAATTTGAGTGGTAGCCTTTGTGTGGAATCGATTTTTAAATTAATAACCCCTTTAACTCCAATGAGTGACCAAGACGAGTTTCTCCTTACAACAGAAATGCAATATCAAATAGAAGAGTGAAGGGAGTAAAGAAAAATATCAACATGGGGAATATTAGTTGATCCAATACAAAGTTTTCAGAACCAACATCATAAGAATTTTATGGCAGACAGTAAAGAGAATTGCTTATGATATCTTGAGATTTTTTTTTTGTTAATTTAATTTGAACTTGGTTAGGATACATTAAGTTTCTGATCCTGAGGGTTGTATTTGAGAAATAATGCTGGAATTTCAAGTAAAGTGGCTCAAAAGTGGTGAACAACTGTAAGTGTGCACCAGGTAACCTCAGAAATGCCCATTGTGTTTTTCCAAGCAATTGCCAACCAAAAATCCAGCTGGCAATCACAGCATTTTCATCTGGCAAATTTCTCCAGCAGCCTGTGCTCGGCAACGACTCTGCTGATCCTGCTGTATATTTGTTGTAGGATGAGGTGGCACATCAACAGAAGATGAAGGCTGACAAAAAGGCGCTTGAACAAGCTAAGGCAAAAGCAGCTCAGAAAGGACCAATGGGTAAGAACAATTCGTGACCTGTTAAACCCTTAACTCCCAAGGCTGACCAAGATAGAATTTCTCCTCACAATATCAGTACGGTATCAAACAGACAAGTGATGAGAATACAAGAAAATATCAGTTAGGGGATTATCAGTTGATCCAATACTAAATTCTCAAACTAACATCAAAAGAACTGTACAGCAGACAGTAAGGAGAATTTCTAATGAGATCTTAGAATAAACTGTAAGAGTGACCAGCATCTAATGTCTTCTTACAGAAATACTGCTGAATTATTCAATAGGATCTTGAGAATGAAGGAAATGAACTAACCTAAGAATCTTTCATTATTAAACAAATTCTCCTTGATGGTACCAAAGGAAATGTTCAGAGAAAAGTACAAAGAATATGGGTACTGACTGATGTTAGGATGTAAATGACCTCAGAAAGTGTAGTGGATGTATTTTCTGAACTGAGTAAGAGGCTGAATTTAATTATAAAGGGTGTAAGTTTCTAAAGAAACTGTGGTACTCATGGCTCGAAATTAACGGTAACCCGTTAACCAATGGTTAGTAATTTTCAATGTTTGGTTACTAAAAATTTGTCCAACTAACCTGACATGGTTATTAAAATTTTCTAACATATTTAAATATTGGTAGACCTCACGACAAAGAGCACGTAGACCCGACTCTCGGTGGAATACTTAGAATACTCAAGTTGTTAAGTTAATTTTAACTCTTTTAGAGAATGTGCTGTAGATGTACTGTTCTTGACTAATCATCCTGAACGAGAGGGAAATAAAATAGGTGCATAATTGTCAATGTTTTTGAGGTCACCATGCAATTTCAGCTACTCTTTAATTAATTTTGTCCAAGTCGTTATTATCAAAATGTTCAATATTTGAGATATCGCAACTTGTGAGCTTGGATACCAAACTTTATAATTTGGTTAGTAAAGAAGATGTCTCCTAACCTGAAGGGTTAGTGATCCAAAAATTAAATTCGAGCCCTGGGTACTACACCAGTGGGGGTAACAGGCTAATTTGGTTTTATCAACTAAGTTGAAATTGTAAATTGGCCACCTTTAAGAGTGTGAAAGTTGACGTTGTGAGCATTAGCCCTTTATCAGAGTGAATGACAAAGGGTTAACGCTCAAAACATCAGCTTTTTAACTCTTTATAGTGGCCAATTTACAATTTCAACTTAGTTGATAAAACCAAATCACTGAATTAAATTATGCTTGCACACTGATATCAGTATGTAAGTTCTCCACACTTTTCTCAGTCATTTCCTAAGGTTCTTCCAAAGTGAATTAGCCCAACAATCAAGAGCTTCTTAAGTTGATGATTATTTCCGTTTTTCTCAAGTTATAATACAATATTTGTCTTATTTTGTCAGGTGGAAGTGGCATAAAGAAGTCTGGAAAGAAATGACACTGGATTATTCATC